ACATTTTTATTTAAATCTAACAAGAATTATTACTCAATATTTCATAAATTTTCTATATTAAATTTCTTCTGTTTTTGATAAAATTTTGGATTCAATTACTTGCATTTAAATGGTATGTATTGTTCATTGTGAATTGAATATAAATTACTATGTAATTACTACACAGACGAAACGTTTTATGTTATGAGAATGAGATAGCATAGATTGCAATTAGTGGAGAAATGCCATTGAAACGTGCCATATTCACAAGGATTTATTCATATTTCCACTTGATTATACGAAATGTTATGCAGGGTAGGGGAATAAGCATCCGTTTTCTGTAATTTATCGCGGAAACTGCGATCGATTAAGCTGGAAAAGGAGAGAGAGAGAGAGAGAGAGAGAAAAGACGCATAATTAAAGGGTGGAGGAATGCGAATGACAGAGAGAGAAAGAGACCGTTTCGACATTTCTCATTTCGCCGGGAAAACCGCCGCTTGTCGGTACATAAAGCTTATTAGAAATTTAGAGTTGGGTCGTGTTTGCGTCTCTCTCTCTCTCTTTCTCTGCTTCTGTGTGTTGAGGTGAATGTATGTTGTGTGACATGAAGAGAAAGACTGAAAATAAGTGGAAAATAGAAAAGGCGAGGAGGAAGAAATTACCACTATTATGCGAGAGTACAAAATCGAATCGATTTGTTTTGCGATTTTCCTTTTCCGTTGTCAAGGCAACTGTGTGTGAAAATAAAGCGAGTGATAGAGAAGGAGAGAGAGTAATAATAATGGGCGTGGGACGAAGAGGAGGTGGAGATAAAAATTTATTGAGGGTGCAGCGCGAATGAATGAGGAAAGGCCACCTCTTTCTATCTTCATCTCTGTTTGCTTTCACTGTGCTTCACTCTGTGCATCTCTCTCTCTATTATTCGTAACATCTCCCTTTCCCTTTTCCCTATTTAGCATTAAACATGCTCGGGCGGAAATTAACAGACGTGATCTCATGAACTCTCGTTCCCCATTATCTCCAATAAATAACATCATCATATTCCCTTTTATTATTTCCCTCTCTCTGTCTGTATATGTTCTGTCACTCGAAGTTCGAAGGTTTTATGCGTATTTATTGTTTATGCAAATGCCCTCCAACTATCGATTAATCTCTCCGAAGAAGAATACAAAAAAAAATACATAATCTGAATCGGATGGAAAGGAAGAGCTGTGTTTTTCTCTATTTATTTTTGCAAATGCTATTCTGCTCTGCTCTTTAAATAAATGAAAATATATAGTAGCGTTTCGCTCGTTCTTTCATGTTTCCACTCTCAAAGGACGCGATCTTTTTGAAGTTCATATTACGAGCGAGGAAGAGCGTGTGCATACCGCCGCCACCGCCTTTGGGTGCGAAAGAGAGATGGAGAGAGAGAGAGAGAAAGAGAATGCGGGGAGTTTTCAATTTAATATATAACAAAAATAAGCGCTGATTTCCTGCATGCAATTCTTTCCCGGCGCATCCACCAGTAAACCATTCACACGTTGCATTTTTTCCCCTACCAGAGGGCGCCTTCAGGAAAAATTTAGTATTTGTCAATTGTAATGTATGCAACCCATGATTCACGCATGTAATGAGAATTAATCCTTACAGGATTAAAACAAAAAACCTTCTAACTAATGTTACAATTCATTTAATGAAATATAATTAAACAAAAACAAATTAATGAAATAATTGAGATTTTCATTGCAGAAAATGTTCAATATTTCTTACTCTAATTAAGAAATGATTAAAGTTTAAAAACTTTGGAAAAATTTAGCATTTGTCAATTGTAATGTATGCAACCCATGATTCATGTAACGAGAATTAATCGTTACATGATTAAACGAAAAACCTTCTAACTAATACTACAATTCATTTAATGAAATATATTTAAACAAAAAACAAATTAATGAAATAATTGAGATTTTCATTGCAGAAAATGTTATATATTTCTTACTCTAATTAAGAAATTATTAAAGTTTAAAAACTTTGGATAAATTTAGTATTTGTCAATTGTAATGTATGCAACCCATGATTCACGCGTGTAATGAGAATTAATCCTTACAGGATTAAACGAAAAAACCTTCTAACAAATACTACAATTCATTTAATGAAATATATTTAAACAAAAAAAAAGTTAATGAAATAATTGAGATTTTCATTGCAGAAAATGTTATATATTTCTTACTCTAATTAAGAAATTATTAAAGTTTTAAAACTTTGGAAAAATTTAGCATTTGTCAATTGTAATGTATGCAACCAATGATTCATGTAATGAGAATTAATCCTTACAGGATTAAACGAAAAACCTTCTAACTAATATTACAATTAATTTAATGAAATATATTTAAACAAAAAACAAATTAATGAAATAATTGTGATTTTCATTGCAGAAAATGTTGTATATTTCTTACTCTAATTAAGAAATGATTAAAGTTTAAAAACTTTGGAAAAATTTAGTATTTGTCATTTGTAATGTATGCAACCCATGATTGACGCGTGTAATGAGAATTAATCCTTACAGGATTAAACGAAAAACCTTCAAATTAATACTACAATTCATTTAATGAAATATATTTAAACAAAAAAACAAATTAATGAAATAATTGAGATTTTCATTGCAGAAAATGTTGTATATTTCTTACACTAATTAAGAAATGATTAAAGTTTAAAAACTTTGGAAAAATTTAAAAATAAGTGATTTTACTTAAGAAAACTGTAATAATTTACAATATTTCAATTTCAATATTTGAAATAATTCGTACATAAGAAAAATAATAAATGATTAAAGTGTGAATTTAACATTTCTTGTTTTTTTTTCAGTTACGGATCGCTGATATACATTGCAACGCAGATTGCGTCAGGGATGAAGTATTTGGAGTCGCTGGAATTGGTGCACAGGGATTTAGCAGCTAGGTATGAAATTTCACTAACAGTTATTAAGATTTAATTGTAATTTCTATCGTTTCCTTTTTTCACAGGAATTGCGTAATAGACAAGAACTTTACGGTGAAGGTATCGGATCACGCCATGTACTGCGACCGCTACGAATCCGACTATTACATCAGCGACACCAAATCCAGACTTCCCATCAGATGGATGTCATGGGACAGCTTATTATTAGTAAGTGCATAAACAATTTACTACTACTTGATGTAGGCTTCCATGTTTTAACAATTGAAAAACAAAGGTGTAGTGATTATTTTTATGAAAATTTCATATTGATTTGTGAATGTCTTTTTTTGTAGGGAAGACAGACAACGAAAAGCGACGTGTGGTCATTCGCCGTGACGCTTTGGGAGGTGCTGATGTTCTGCATGCAGCAACCTTATGCAGAGTTGACTAGCGAACAGGTGGTGGAGAACAGCAACCATTGGTACCAGAACGACGGTTGCCAAAGGTACCTTCCGCGACCTGCGACCTGCCCACGCGAGATCTACGACCTGATGGGCGAATGCTGGAAGAGGAACGCGAGCGATCGACCACGTTTCTCCGAGATTCATCTATTCCTGCAACGCAAGAATCTGGGCTTCCTCCCTGCTCCAATCCAATGCTAAAAACAACTAAACAACACTAGATGCTGTACTAAACAACAACAACAACAAGAACAACAACAATCTTGTTATAGGAATTCAATAGAGAGCACAAGCGAAACAGAAACATTTGGACCTACTTAACTAATAATAATAATAATAACTAAGATATAGGATATATTGACAAAACAATATTTATAGCGTTTCCTCGTTTCCAATTCCGTTGACTGAAACAAATGATATAAACAAAACACTTCAACACACACCAATTAGTTCTCTTGTTTCGATTGTAATCACTACATCGTGCGTGAAAGCTTTGAATTATAGGGGTTTCTCTCATCAACTTGTATAAACTATAAGGCTGATTGTATTTACAGATGTCAATCAATTCTAAGTAGACACACTGCGATCCGTTTCATTCTTTTGCGTTCAATTAATCGAACCTTCATCAGTGTAAACATATTGTGATATTATTACACTTGCACTAAGCAAAGAAAAAACGCAAGTAAATTGAAAGTGTATAACCATATCTGATAAATGAATATATTATATTGAGGTGATGATGATGATGAAAAATGTAAAGACGAGGATGAAAGTAAAAAAAAAATATGAATATATAAAATTATATAAAGATATTTAATGAACGAAACAAAAGAAGTTTATATATATATAATATAATATATTTTGGTTTTTTAAATCACTCGTACCTCTTTATCTCTTTATCTCTAAACATAATCGGATTTGGAGCTTTCACTTATTTTCTTCATGCAAAATTTGAAGAAAGAATGTAAGAATTATCTTCATCACTATCAAACTAGTCAGTCACGTGTGTGTACAAAGCGTGAGAGCTCAAAAAGTTAAGTACACTTAAGTACACAAAATATATGAGTGTTCCTGTTCTACGGAAAACTTAGGACTTTTCGCTGCCAAAAAAATTTATATATATATTATAAATAAATAAACTAATATTGATGATGATGATGACACAAGACACAAAACTCGCCTAATATATGGAATAAGTCAGTATTAAACGCAGTTTCCCTTTGCGTTTCAAATTTTTCGATATGATAATCGAATTGACATGAACGTTTTTCTTTTATTTGTTTCTAGGCGTTTCGTTTTGTTTATTTATTATTGAAAAAAAAAAATGAAAAACGTTTTCTCCCAGTGCCATTTTATAACTTAAGTATATATATATATATTATATATATATTGAAAACAAAACACGAACGCAACAAACTCACAACACTCTTGTAAATAATATACGAATACAAAAAAAGAAACTCACTTAATTTAAATTTAAAAAAAAACAAAAAGATGATTAAATACAATTTGTAAATACGCGTAGCACTTAAGTATCGATGAAAGTATACAAGCATAAATATATTATTTTTAGATATAAACTCACAACAACAACACACAACAAAAAAAACTAAATATATATTTAACTAAACGAATGTTATTTAACAATTGTTTAAATTAACGAAACAAAAAGTATTTAGATTGTAAGATTCGATTAACATATTTTCTATATCTAAAAAAAAATTCTATAAATGAAAGGAAAATTCGAAGAAAAAAAAGTTACTTAATTAATAATTAACGATTGAAGGAATTCGTGTGTGATTTAAGTTATTTTCTGATTCATCACGTGTAAATACTAATAATTAATAATAATAATGATAAAAAACAAAAAAATCATACGTTCTTTTTATGATTATTAAACATTTCGTTGTTTCGATTCAGTTTCTTTTCTTTTTGTTACTTGTAATAGAAGAGAAAAAAAAAAGTGAAATAAAATTATATATGTATAAAAGAAAAAGAAGAAAAACACACAAAATATACTATATTTATTTTGTATCGATTCAACGTGATTAATTAACGATAATTAATGACGGCACAGACAATCAAAGTGCAAGAAAGTTTTTATTAAGCTTAGATCTCTCTCTCTAATATATTTAGTCGACACTGGGTGTGTAAAGTAAAAGAAAAATGATGGAACGATGATGATGATGAAAGAAGAAAAGAAAAACTAGGATTTGTATTGATTATTTTTGTTGATCGATTCGTGATTTTAGCTATGAGAAGAGGTAGCAGCAGCAACAACAGTAAAGAGATTTGGATCATCATCAAAGCTTTGTAGTTTTCGACAGAGTGAATCGAACGGTCTCTACTTTTTTTGTTTTTGTTTCTTTTAAATATATAAATATATGTGTTGCACGAGACTAAATCTAAATATGAATACGATTAATAATTATAAATTTAAGACTCTAAAACTATATTAAACAATTTAAACGAAAAAAAAATGATGGAAAATTGCAAAAAAAAATATGAACCCACCGCTCGTATATAGCAACCAAAAAAAAAAAAACAAAACATCTTCTAAACGAATCTCCCCTTTGACCCTTACATCCCCAACACACATTCACAAAACTTAAAAGAATAACAACAACAACAAAAATCCACTATTCTTCTTCGTATAGGTGTTTCATTAATACATATCAAGACACACGTTTATTGTCCTTATAATCATCGAGTTTATTTTGCGTATTTATTTCTACTTATTATTGTTCACTCATGAGGTGAAATCGTTCTCAGTTATATAGTTTTTTTTTTTTAATCTTTCTATCTACCTGTATTCTTGTGTTTCCCATGTATATCATTAGCATTGTATATCGAATTTGTAATTTGTAATCCACGTGTTACGAGACTTGTAAATACGAAATAATAATACTATGTTTTTATTTATTACATCTATAGAAAATAAAGATGCTGATAACACTTTTCCCAAAAAAAAATATCGTTTATTTCATTGACTCGACAATCCACTCAAATCATCAGTTTATTTAGTATTTGCTTACTTATTTTATATATTAATAAGTATAATAAAACGTGAGTATTTTAAACATTTAAAATTATTTGTAAATTTGGTTGCCTATAATAAACAAGTGGTAAGAATTTCTATTTTACCAACATTAGGTTAACTATCTCCTAAGAGCTGGCGAAATTGAAAAACAAGGATTTTCAAAATCATTGACCACACGTTTGAAAGCTGAAAAGCTCACCTTTCCAACGTGCCTATATACATCTTTGTGTTGTCATCGAGTCGCCTGCTATGAGCTGTAGAAATTGAAACAAACAGAGAAACGACGTTTATTTTCAGTCTTTTTAGTTTTTCATTAATATTTCCACAACCCTTTAAGATAATTACATGACTGAACACTTATTTGAAAGCTGAAAAGCTCACCTTTCCAACGAGCATACATACATCTTTGTGTTGTCACCGAGTCGCCTGCTATCAACTGTAGAACGTTTTTTTTTTGCAATTTTTTTCAGGTTTTACAGTTTTTCGTTAATTTCTCGACAACCCCTTAAGATAATTACATCATCGAACACTCGTTTGAAAGCTGAATATTTTGCCTTTCCAACAAGCCTACATACATCGTTGTGCTGTCATCGAGTCGCCTGCTATGAGCTGTTGAAATTGAAAAATAAAACACATACTTGACGTTTTATACGTTACAGAGAAACGACGGGTTTCTCGTATTTTTTTCAGTCTTTTTAGTTTTTCATTAATATCTCGACAACCCCTTAAGATAATTACATCATCGACCACTCGTATGAAAGCTGAATATTTTGCCTTTCCAACAAGCCTACATACATCTTTGTGTTGTCATCGAGTCACCTGCTAAGAGCTGCAGAAATTGGAAAAAAAGTGAAAATCGCTGTTTGAGTTAAAAAAGGATTTTCTTTAATAACTCGAAAAGTTAAATAGATAAAATATTAAAATTAGTTAATTTCTTCTAAAACAATCATTGTAATTATTTAGTACCTTTAATAATGTTTATTGATAGTTTGGAAATAAAGAAAGTCGCAAGTGTTGTATTTATTTAATATTTATTATCATTATATTTATATAACATATATTCCTTAAAAATATATCAACATTTATGGTTTTCTTTCCACAAGAAGTTGTTTCTCATGCATGCGACATAAAAATTAGAATCCTAAATTAAACTAAAAGAAACTCTGATCAATAGCTCTTGTAGTGGTTGAGCCTGTACAGCGAGACCAAGTTGTTCATGCTTCCTACGGCCAAATAACCGCTTCCAGGTGAGAAAGCAGCAACGCGTACCTTATTCAAACCAGGATTAAGCTGCGGGAAATTACTGAACACCGTCTTCGAACCCAAATGGAAGATCTTCACGGTGTTCTGTATCTCGCTGGAGTAAAGCGACAACATCTCAGAGGAGTGATTGAATTGTACGTTCCAGATCTCCGTCTTCAGATTCATGATGCTCTTCACCGGAACCGGATACTTCTTCGTTAAAGATTCGGTGTCGTATACGTTGACAACACCCTGTGCAGATCCTGTAGCGACGAATTGTCCGGATGGAGAAATATCGATACACGTGCCCTGAAGACAACCCTCGTCGGTCCACACGTGCTTCACACGCCTCATCCCCATATCCCAAACGGTGACCTCACCATTCTCGCCGTGCCCGAAAAGCATATTACTTTGTGGATTGAAAGCCAACGCTGTAGCTTTGCTGTTCTGCTGCAACGAAAACATCTTCTCTTTCGTATGAGTGTTAACCACATGCACAGCCCCACTGTTACCACAGATCGCCATGCATTTCCCATCTGGAGAAACAACAAATTTCTTGAAATGCGTCACTCCATTGATAGCTATTTTGTTCGTCTTCATGCTCATCAAATCAAAGGCGTAGCAGTAATTCATGTTGTTGCCAACAATCAGCTCACTCCCATTACTCGTGAATCTGCTGCAAAAAACTTTGTAATCCTTAAACTGAGTAGTGTGTATCATCTCATTCTTCTTCCCATCAACTGTGTACAAATGAACGATACCATTCACTCCAGCAACCATGGCAACACTCGATGTAGGATGGAATTCCACTGATGTAATATAAGAGTTGGACTTGCCCCTGTGCAGTGGTTTCGATACTTTAAAATCTAACAAGTTGGAAGGTAGATGCAATTTGGCATTCTTCTTGATGAACCCGCAAGTCTGCAAAATGTCATCATCAGAATCATCGTCGTGTCTCCTCTTCTCAACATCAGCCCACGAGGGTTGTCCCACGACTTCCACAAACTTCTGCTTCAGTGATTTCTTGGTCTTTGTGGACGCCTCGTTCGGAATGTCTGTCTCTATGAAATCCTCCTCGTCCATCCATGCTGCTGCCCTCTCCTTATCACTCTCCTCGCTGTCTCCCACACCAGAGTCCATCGACGGTGACAGCATACCAGGAGTCTCATTTTCAGCCTCCTCCAGGCTCTGCAAGAAATTTGTCTCACCACCGAACAGGATGTTCGAGAGGTGCTCTTCCTCTGCCTGCATCTCCGCAGTGAAGGGCTTGAACTTTTCTTGCACATATTCCTTCTTCGGGACTGCTCTTTTCTTCTTACCGTCGCCGCTCTCCTCCAGCTTACGTTTTCGCATGTTCTTCGGCATTTTTTCACTGGTAAAAAACAACAAGTTTCAGCACAACAACACAACTGTCAAAAAAGGTATGAACGCAATGTGCTTTCCAGGAACACCACAATATCATGAAGTTACCTCCAACTTACTAATCGAAGCAACTTCATACGAGTATATTGGGTTGCCTACATGTACTTTATTATACGAAAATCACAATTTAGAACAATCAAAATTACATTCTTAGCACTTACCTACATTTTTTACATAGTTAATTAATTATCTTCAATAGGATTTATGTTTAATTAATTCGTATATTAATGCTTTCTTAAAAAATAAGCGAAGATACAAACCTGAATCGTTTTGGGTCATCTGTTGGCGTTTCGTGAAAGTTTATAGTTCAGCACTTTTGGCGCTGCTTCAATTCCTTCTTGTTAATTAGGGTTTAGAAAGTAAGTATCTAATTACTAAACAATAGATCATTAAGTTGCGATTACAACAGTACCACTATTATATAAATCCATCAAGTATTAACGCAGTTATAACTGTTTCAAGATTTCGCCACAGCTCCATCTAGCGGACTTGTATTACTACAATTTTCAAATATTTACTAATTATTTTAATTTAAAAAGTTATAATATACTAATTATAGCTCTAAGTCTGTGGATTCTAATTAAGGCTAATTACTAAATGAATTTTTACTTAAAATTATAATGTAACTTTAATCTAAAAAAATATATTGGTATAATGATAATTTCAAGTGTTTAAAAATGTATGCTATATGAATTTTATGTATTATTAAGACATATTTATATACTAATAATTAAATGTAAACGGAAGAAAATGCTATATCAACAACACGTTTATAAACAAATCGTTATATATGCTGAGTTGTGTGTATTGAATGGAAGATCGTTGAATTCCTGAAATTATTGTCTGTGAAATAGAACGGACTCTGTTGATGGGATGGAGTATAAATATTATTTTAACATCCAGACGGCGGCGGTTACCGAAAACTGCTGAATGTTTCAACATGAATAATGCATTTCTTCGACGCTCGAAATAAGAATTAATCGCATTTTATTAATTATATTCAATCGTCGCAAATTTAAACATAACGTGTCCCAGTTCTCATTATACTTCTGTATAATTTAAGTTGAAAAAGTTTCAAAAAATTATAAACTTTAGAATCAATTAAATTGCTTTTGAAAGTTAATTCTATTGAGTGTTTGGTGAACAAATTGGTTTGGATTGGATGAACTTTGAATTTTTCGTTTTTCTATTTGCACAGTTTTAGTTTTAGATGAATATCTTGAAAACCAACTAAGTTATTTGCAACAATGAAATTGCTTATGTAAGCTAATTCTATAAAGTATTTAGTGTATGTATTGATTTAATTCGGGTAGTACTAGGTTTTACACTATCAAAGCAAAAAGTTTAAAAAATAATAAACTTTAGAATCAATTGAAATATACGAGCTTTAGTTGTTGTTAAATTGTTTTTGAGAGTTAATTCTATTGCGTGTTTGGTGAACAAATTGGATTATATATGTTGTTACTAATTTCAGAGGAAATTAATTACAAACTTCAATTTATTCGTTTTTTGCACAGTTTTAGTTTTATGTGAATATCTTGAAAACTAAATAAGTTATTTGCAATAATTAAATTGCTTATGTAAACTAATTCTATAAAGTATTTAGTGTATGTATTGATTTAATTCGGG